ATGCCTCTAAAGCACCAAGGGGTGCAGCACTTCCTTCGTAAAAGGGGAGTGGATGTCTTGGCCATTTTGGAAACCAAGTTATCTCATCGCTTGGCTGATCAGATTGTGGAAAAAAAATTTGTGGGCTGGAAATGTGATCATAATTTCTCCTCCCATGCTGCTGGTCGTATCCTCATCCTTTGGAAGCCACAGAAAGTCACTCTTACTGTCTTACACATGTCTGCTCAGCTTATGCATTGCAGTATTCTTGACAGCTCCTCTGGGAACATTTTTCAGATTTCGTTTGTCTATGGTATGCATTCTATCACAGCTAGAAGAGCATTATGGACCAGCTTACTGAACATTGGGGCCACTATGAATAGGCCTTGGCTTATTCTAGGGGACTTCAATACCATTCTTTGCCCCTCTGACAAACACCATGGGAACTCTGTCACTGCTTATGAGACTAGTGATTTTCGTGACTGTTGTGAGGAGCTAGGTGTAACTAATCTCAACAACCATGGCTCCCATTTCACTTGGACTAATGGCCGTGTGTGGAGCAAGCTGGACAGAGTCCTCTGCAACCACTTGTGGTCTTATGCTTTCCAGGAATCTAGCTATGAGTCTCCTGGTTTCGAATCCATCTCTGACCATTCTCCCCTCATTGTTTCTTTGGGATCATCATTGGGTCGAGGTAATGTTGCATTTAAATTCCATAATTCTGTTTCAGAATTGCCTAGTTTCCTGCCAACAGTTTATGAAGCATGGAAGCTCCAAGTTAAGGGAATTAAAATGTTTGCTGTCTGCAAGAGATTGAAGCATCTCAAGGGCCCTCTCAAGCGGCTGTACAATGAGCACTTTAGCAGGATTTCCAACAGGATTGAGGAAGCTGAAGCTGAGTATAATAAAGTTCTGGGATCCCTCCAGTTGTATCCAAATGAGGCAGCTTTGCTTGGGTTAGCTGATAGTAGTAGAAGACAGATTATCTTGTTGAGAAAAGCTGAGGCCAGCCATTTCTCTCAGATTTTGAAGAATAATTTCTTGTTGCAAGCCGACAGATGTTCTAAATTTTTCCATGAATATATTAGTAGCAAGAGACACCAAAGATTCATTGCTGCCATTCACACTTCCGAAGGTAATATTCTGTCCTTGCAGTGTGATATTGCTCAAGCATTTGTTTGTCATTACAAAGACTTATTGGGGGTGGAGAGGCCGATCCAACATGCATCCATTCCTATTATAAACAATGGTCCTAAAGTCCCATCTGATTTTACTGCCATGTTGCTTGGCACCATATCAAAATCTGATGTATGGAATATTGTTGCTGGATTTGATGATAATAAATCCCCTGGTCCGGATGGGTTCAATGCCAAATTCTTTAAAGAATCCTGGAGCATCATTGGAGAGGACATTTTTTAGGCAGTTTGTGAATTTTTCTCCTCTGGAAAATTGCTGAAACAAGTCAACCATGCAGTTATTGCATTGATTCCGAAAGTTGATAATGCATCAACTGTTAATCATTTCAGGCCAATTTCGTGTTGCAATATTATGTACAAGATCATATCTAAGCTCCTTGCTAACCGTATTGCCCCTGTCTTGCAGCAAATTGTGGGTCCTTTTCAATCAGCTTTTTTGAAAAATAGATCCATGAATGATAACATCTTTCTTATTCAGGAGATCATCAGAAAGTATGCACGGAAAAGAGTATCTCCTAGATGTATATTGAAGATTGACTTGCACAAGGCCTATGACTCAATCTCTTGGGATTTTTTGCGTTCAATGTTGTCTGAATTGGACTTCCCTCCACTCTTTATTACTTGGATTATGGAGTGTGTGTCCTCCACATCTTACAGTGTTGCTGTCAATGGCTCAGTATATGGCATGTTTAGAGGAAAAAGGGGGCTGAGACAAGGAGATCCCCTCTCCCCCTACCTCTTTGTTCTATGCTTGGAATATTTATCTAGAGATCTTAATTTTTTGCAGGAAGACAGCAGCTATAATTATCATCCTTTGTGTGCTCCACTAAAGATTTCGAATCTTGCATTTGCGGATGATATTATTCTGCTATCTAGAGGTGACACCCCATCAGTTGCTGCTCTAGTATCCAAGCTGCAGCATTTCTGTTCTGTCTCGGGTCTGCAAATCAGCAACGACAAGTCTGCCCTCTACATGGCTGGGATCAACCAATTTGAAATGGATAATATTCAATGCATCACGGGTTTCCCTATTGGCTGTTTTCCTTTCAGATTTTTGGGAGTCCCTCTTTTAGCTTCAAGGCTAAATGTTTGTCACTATGACCCGCTTATTGCCAAGATCACTGTGTTAATCAATGGCTGGAACCGGAAGACTCTTTCATATGCAGGTAGACTGGAGCTTGTTAGAGCTTTCATCCAAGGGGTTGCCAATTTTTGGCTTGGCATCTTTCCTCTCCCTTGTTCGGTTATTCATCGAGTAAATGCATCCTGTAGAAATTTTCTGTGGGGCAAATCGGATGAGGGCAAGAAGAGGCCACTGGTTGCAT